GTGAAATTCTGAGCAGATGTTTCGAATGTGCCTCAACAGTGTTGTACCATTGTGCAAGGGATCACGTCGGTGAGGAGGAGTCACTTCAGTGCCATTGGCCGCGTTGCGACTCGACCGTACGCACCAAATGGTCAATGATCACGCATCTGCAAGACCACCATTGCAGTGATATGGCGCTGCAAGCGGCCGCCAAGCGGAGGCGTGAAGGTGACAGCTTTTTGGCATTTCTTCCCCGGACATTTTGGTTGGCACGCGTGTGTTGCCTTACGTGTTGCGTTAGCGATACTTCGCGATAGGCGCCGCCTATTTTAGCGAAGTTGTCCCAGGCGAATTTTTCGCAATATATGTGAATATTTTAGGTCTTGGTATACCACTCGGTCCCGTGAATCCAGAGAGACCACGCGACGCGCAGCAGCATCCAGGCTACTCGAAGAACGCCGCGGTAGAGGCGATTAGACGGCACGCCTTCAATTATCTACCTAGGGATATTACGGTAGGTTTTATTTTTTTGATGAATAAGTATTATTATTATTGTTATCATTTTTTAGTTGTTGTCTGAAATTGAGCTGCAATTGGTGATTTTTAGGATGATCCCGAGGGTCCCGTAACGAAAAGTATTCGCCTGACGAGTTGTTTAATATTGAGGAATTTGGCCAGATACTCGCCGGATGGTCGACGGTATGATTTGTCTATTTTTATTTATTATTGCCTTCAATGTTTATTTATTTATTTATTATTATTATTATTATTATTATTATTATTATTATCATCGAAAAAATTCAGATTAGTGCGAAGGCACGAACGTCTTCTGAGTTGGCTGTCGCTGTCGCGGTTGGAGAGTAGCTCCGCCCTCGCGCAGCTTTTGGCCGAATTGTACCAACCCCAGACGCAACCTTCATACTCTTGTTGACCTCGTTTGACCTCATTGTTTCGCTTATTATTATTATTTATTTTTATTGTTATTATTATTGTTCATTATGATTATTAAATTGTTTCTATGAGAACGTGTATGTGTGTGGCAATTTCGCCAAAATGTTTGTGCTGTTTTATATCCTTCTACCAATGTTTGGCGTTCTTGTACCTACCAGTTGTGGCGAAACCGCCAGGCTTTGTCGACGTGAGATATGTAGATGGAACTTGATTTTAGGATGGTTTTTGCTGTTGTTTTTTATGTTATTATTATAATTTGGTTATTATTATTATTAATCATTATTATTATTATTATTGTTATCGGTGTTGGCGCCTTTCTAAGGAGTGTATTCTGTGAAAATGCGTGAAAATGTGTTTCTTTTTTGGAAAATTTTTAATTTTTGAGCTGAATGTTTTATTTTTGGCATTTAGATAATATTGTTTTATTATTATTTATTATTATTGT